TTTCGGGCAACGATTTTCCTTTGCGCAAGTGCAAGGTGTGTTTGATTTTAGTGGCTGCTTCCTCCGCTGAACGGTACTAGTGGTTTGTTCGGTAGGCATGAAGCGTACTGAGTCTTGGAATTCAAACTGTCAGGAGCCGAGGCGAGGCGTTCTGGACTGCCGGGGCTCGGGAGTTCGGGATTAAGGTGTTAAGGTCAGGGCTCAGGGCCATGAAGTGTTTGGGCTGTTTGTGAAGGAGCCGGCCCGTGAACCCAGAAAATCTGGCTTTGAACGTTCGAACCCTTCCAAACCCTTTATCGACAAAGCTGTCGACATCCTTAAACCGAGAACCGCGAGAGGAAGATGGGCTTCCGGACGAACGTAACGCCCTGCGGCGGATGATTGTTGCTATGTGTCCGGAATACTTGGTACAGGGGATGCTTTCTTATGACAAGGAAACGCCAGAATTCTTTTAAGGAGGCTTCATTACAGTAACACTCAGATGCACACACATTATGACGATGCATGCGATGGCAGATTGCCTCAGATTTTAAGGTGTGTTCCTGCATGATGGCCAAACTTCATCATCGCTATGATTGCCGGCGACTTGAAAGAAGAATGCGGCTGCAACATTGCAAACCCTCCACACTTGGGATTTCCTTTCGACGAAGCACGACATCTCCGCGGGCTTCTATGCTGTCAGAACTAGCTACCATCATTGCATCCATTCTTGGCAGCACTTGCCGTCGAAGTGTTCGTATCCTTTGACTTCCGCCATCTGCAGCCTCTCCATATCATGGCTGACTGAGATCTGCGCCGTCACTCGGCGGCAAACGGAATTATCCACAACCTCTTCATCCAATTTCTACTGTCGACCCTACCGCCTTCACATCCTCATCCACCCTCATCCACCCTGCAAACCCCGGGCTTTGAACTTGGGCACAGCAGCCTGCTCCACCAGCTGCCACGGCGAAAGCCACTTCGCACTCCAGGCACCCGACCTTGAGCACCACCTTCTCGGAACTGCCTGCAGACAACGATACCGGAGTCGAATCTGTCGCATCGAAACAACAGCAAGCGGGCAACACATGGCATCCTGTCTCTGCATCTTACAGCTTCGGCTGCGAACCAGGGAACTGTGGGACGTCGCCAGTGCATGCCACCTCATCGATTAGCCCGGCTTGCCCAAGAAACGTTTTTCGAAGTGGCAGTTCTGCGATGAAGCGATGCGACCTACGATATCCCAAATCCCAGCTATGTGAAACACAACTTGCCAGCAACGAGATCTATGGAGAGAACATAATCAAGAGCAACGCGATTAAAGTTGAGAGGCAATGGACTCTCTGAAGACAAGACAGCAAACAAGTTGGGTGTGGCCCCCGGCGTTGTCAGCAGTGTTGGCAATGGAGCTGAACCCTGCGACACGAAAAACGCGGCTGTGAAAGAACCATGTCGGGAAGCTGCGGGATGTTACCGTCCGCAGATGCCAAGCAGTAGAAAACTGTACGAGTAGGTGAGGAACCTGCTTTCTACGTTCCACCTGGAATCTCACCGCGACGACTCACTTGATCCTGGCACTTTTCCAGGGCCTGGAACTCCCGACAGTTGAACCGTTATGTGCGCCACATGAGCAATGCCATACCGAAACGTCGCCAAAAACACCCCTTCTGATGTCCTTTGTCTACTGGTTTCGCTGAGGCTCGTGAAAAGGAAAGCCTGCAACGTAACTAGCCCCAAGTCTCCAAGTCCCAAAAGAAAACTGTCCCGCTCACAACAAAACCGGATTCCCTGCCTGACTGGCCTGTTTTCGGATATATACCTCGGCAGGCAGAATGCTACGAGGCGAACCAGCTGGCTGGAAACGGGGCTCATGGTACAGTGAACTTCCGCTGGCTTCGGAAATATGTACGTCGCATCCGGAGTTTCAAAGCAGCTCTATATATACCTGGACCTAGAGTTTTTCAAACATGACTTTCTGTATTGCTCCGAGCCGAATTAAACACAATGTGTCTGAAACCGTCGCGAAACTCTTCTTAATCAAGAGGCCTCCGAATAACCCCGCTGTGTCACCGATGTCCATAAACAAATCATTTGCTGCTTGCAAAACCTGAATTGAGGATTTGGCGCTTCGGTCCCTTTACAAAACATGTCGGGGGTTCAGAGTGTGGCATGGAACACCGCCCACTATCCACCCAACACTTCGCAGTTTAGGCTGCGGCGCTCGCAGCCCCAAGAACAAATCACGCTGGACCACAACCCTTCCAACCCTTGTGATTGGACACTGTGCTGCCAACAGTCCCCTGCGATGCCCATGGTCAACACAAACCGCTGATCGATTCATTGCTCTTCTCGCTACTTCTCGAGTTCTGACAAAAACACCTAAACTGCTACTCTCGCTGCCACTTGTTACGCCTCTTCACCTGTGTCAGCATGGAAGGCTCACTGGTTGGGCCGGGATGGGGTTAGAGTGCTGTTGAGGCGGGTTTGCCAAGATCAATATTCAGCATTTGCTCGAACTGCCGCTGGCTTCTGCTGCACCACGCATGCCTCCGCTTCCACCATCCCCGAACAAACACAACAAATTACAACCTGAAACTACTTGCCATCTAATCATTCAAGCAAGTGCTCCAGCTACGTCGCCCGGCCTGCATTGCCGTCCCAAGTGGCGGGAAGTCCGCCTGTAGCGGTCGAGGCATATCCTAGGTCCCAAGAGACGTAACGCATGGATATAATCTGGTATCACCTCTTTCGTAAGATATGCGTATGTATGTAGTTGTTGACGCAGGTATCGACTCATGCATCGACTGTCTGTTCTGTGTAATTGGTTGCTCGCCTTTCTAACTTTTACCTATTTGTCTATTCATCTGTTTGTCTAGCTGTTTAGCTGTCTATCTGTATACAGTGTCCAGCCGTCCCTTCTAAATGTCTACGTCCATCTATCTACTTCTTTTGATTTGTACTGAACAATGTTTATCCATGTCCTTATTTCAACTTTACAGAACACGAGAATGGTAGCCCCTTGCAGTCCCAAGAACATTTATTCATCATGAAGGCCCTGTTCATCACCCTGTCTACCCGTCCGGGAGCCCTAAGCTCAACCTCTACTCACTACTTTCAAACTGCCATAAACCAGTTTGCGAAGGGATTCTAAGACTTCCAGATTGAATCAAGATTAAATATATGATCCTGCTTAAAGGAATACACAAGCTGCCCCTGAACCCGGAATGACCAAGTGCTCAATCGCAAGATGCCTCCATATGAATGCTCCCGGCGTGCATTGGCGGCATCTTCCCCGATGGGGACACGGCGAGGACGAAAGACGCACTAACCGTAACAAGAGGTATGCCCATAGAGCCGCCATACCTCGGTTTATGCAGGAACCTTTAGCTTCACAGATGGGTCGCTCGAAGTCCTGGTATCCAGCCAAAAATCGACATCAAGATAAGAAGAGACCATGGAACAGCATTTTGCAAAGCGCTTGAGCCCATGGTTTCGTCGGCTGCGAGGCTGTCTTTTCTGGCTGCTACGTGCATCGTCAAGCTCTAATGCCTCACGGCACGGCTGTATTTATAGGGTCTTGTGGTTTGGGCTTCAGCGTTTTTGCGCCGGTCACTTTGTCTTTATTCTGTGGTGCATGAGCGCTTTTGGGGCTCAAGGATCGGGAGGTTTGAGTTTAGGGTTAAAGGCTTTCAGCTTTGGGCTGTTGCAGTTTGTGGTCATTGGAAGCTGAATGAATGGAAGTCGTGAGTCTGCCAGCATGACTAGGTGACTAGGTCCATCCCGAACGAGCCATTCAAACAGCTTCTGAGTGCCTGGGGGCAGTGGGGTCCACACCCGGATTGAGGTCTTCGGGCGTCTAGTTGAACAGACAGGGTATTCCCGGTATTCGACTGCATCGTTGAAGCGTCTTGGTAAACGCATCAACGCCTCAAAGTCTCAGATTAGGGTTAGGAGCCTTGCCTCGGGAGCCACGTGACTTCGAGTTGAACTCCGGGAGAAAAATCCCAACCTTTTGATCCGCAGAGGCTCCTGTCAGAAAACAAACCCCCTCAACTCCTTCACAAAATTCGTTCTCCAGACATCAGGCTCCGCCGACAGTTGAATAAAGATGAACGCGTACCAATACTCTCTGCTCACTCTATACACGAAGGCAACAGACAGAGTGACTCCGGAGGCAAGTGCACAAACAAAAGCTCGACAGAAATACCATGCGACCTTCAACCAAAACCTCACGCCCAAAACCTCAAGACTCCCGATCCCAAAGCCTCATTTAACCCCAAAAGACCTAAACCAAGCCCCTGAAGCAGATTGCTGATAATGAAGCAGCGAAGCATTTCTCACAATTTTGTCGGGCCAACGTCTGCAGTCGGTAGGAGTCCTCGATGGGTTTCGGGTGTAGGGTTTAGGGTGCTCGCATCCCAACTTGAAAGCAGCAAGGCAGCAGCTGCAGCCGAAGCTCCTGGCGAAAGGGTCGATTCGATTCATGGCATGGTTAAATAAGACACGAAGGCCTTAGATTAGGGTCTTTGGGGTATATTCGTGGAAAGAGGTACCTTTACCCACATTCAAAACTCAGCATTGTCTTGAACGGCTTAGGGGTGTAAGGCTTCAGGGGTCCTCGGAAAAGCGCATGGATTTCGCAGCGTCCAAGGCTGTCCCGCCGCGCTCCGGCCCTTGCTCCCAGCAAGATGCAAAGCATGGCTCCTCCATCAGACCAAGCCATACCCAGAGTCCAAGCACAATTGCTCCGCCAGTCAGCTCCACACATCTTCGCACAAGAGCTGATCATCAGCAAGTAACTCTGCAGGGATTGTCAGCGGCTGAAGCGACCGTGCACATGCCTCGAGCTCGTATGTTTGAAGGCTCCGTTGCCCAGTACCGGGGTCCCCGCTCCCAGCCAGTTGGCGAATCCACAACAAGGCAGGCAAGAGAGGCCTGCCCGCGGGCCATACAGCCGTGTCCATGTCCACACAACACCGGTTGGTAACACGCGCTTGTGCTGGGAATGATTGGATCAGGGATCACTCTCCTGAAGCCTTGAGATGTGCGGAGGGGCGCTGGCTTTCCGGCAAGATGCCCCGCTTGGAGTCGTTCCAGCCCTCCTCCGGCGTTTTGCTGCTGTTTTGGTGCCGGCCATAGACCCAGATCTCCGTGATGAAGTTGTCATTCAAGAAGAAGGCTGCTGCAATGGCCAAGATGCTCTGAGGGGACCAGCAGTACTCATCAAACCCAGGCCATGAGTCCAACTCCTGCATCTTGCAGCGAAACCCCCCAGCAAGCTAGCAGGACCTAGCAGCGACCAGCAGCACAATTCTGAGACCCCTCAAACTAGTCTTAATCTTCTGGCCCAGGGGCCGGGGGGGAGACCCACACACTGCTCTAAAAGTACATACCTGTAATAACATTACATAGTAGTTTACAGTACGTGAAAGTAAGAAAGCCAAAGCCCTCAAAACTACTCAGGACAGGGCCTCGAAGTAGCTCTGGTAGAGGCTTGAGCGGAAGAAGGACATCGACCCCCCAAACAGGCAGCCGTAGATGTTCACCGGGAAGGAGCCACCGGGAACCTGAAAGACATTCTCACGCCTCCCATTTCGGAAGCCGTGCAATCTATGTCCCTCAGTGACATGAACAATTGCGTGGACAGCTTCTATGCAACGATGAATTTGCAACGATTTGCATCGGGAACAAAAATTGAAAGTGCGACATGGCCTGCTGATGCCAACTGGCCAATATCATAACAACGACGAACATGAGGATGAGAATCAGCGTCACGATGAGGATGAGGCTGAAGGGTAGGATGAAGGATAGGATGAGAAGGAGGAGGAGGAGGCGGCGGCTTGGTGGTAACTTCCAGGCAGCAACTTGAAACGACGAACAAGCGAAGCCCTGACTCACACACACAGTAATAATAGCAGCAGCAGCCGCAGCACCTGCAGCAACAGCAGCAGCAGCAGCAGGCAGCAGCAGGCAGCAGCAGCAGCTGCAGCAGCCGCAGCAGCAGGCCACAGCAGCAGCAGCAGCAGCAGTGG